TCTCTCTCTCTCTCTCTCTCTCTCTCTCTCTCTCTCTCTCTCTCTCTCTCTCTCTCTCTCTCTCTCTGTGGCACCAAACTCGATTGCAGCGAATTTGCAGAATCATACATCATGGTCTTATTTCCACATAACGTTCCGTTACATTCCGTCTACTTCTCTTTGTTATCGTTCCGTTCCGTTAGCCTTCACTGTTGTCGACAACCACCCTGTCTTTTGGCAGTCTGACGACGAGTACGGGGCATTTGCAATGATGCACGCAGTAGTCGCTGACGCTTCCAAGAAAGGCTCTTTTCAGAGCACCATAGCCATGGCTTCCTATCACCAACAAATTGGCCTTCAGCTGCGCCACTGCATCTACTATACACTCTCTCGCGTCTCCCATTGTCACCTCCTTGATGGGCTGCACGTTCTTCTTCTCGCACATCGTCTTCGCTTTACTCAGTACCCCTCTGCTTATCTCCTCCTCTTGGCGCCTCAATGCCTCCGACACCTCGGCCGAGATATAGTATCCCGGCACTTGCTGTGGTGTCGCAAAGAACGGCGAAGGCGCCTGCACGTGAAGAAGATGAACCCTATCCTTGGGCTCGACCACGAAATCGAGCGCCCACAGTAACGCATACATACTCTCTTCCCCCTGGTCAACAGCAACGACCACATTCATAGGTTTACGATCGTTTACCGCCGTTTCTTCTCGCGATGGCGCCGCCGTCGTCCCCGTTGGACTCGACACACCGCCTCTTTCTCCCTCTCCCCCTCCTCTGCTGTTCACATCCGCTTCCCCTCTCTCCATCTCTCTCTCTCTCTCTCTCTCTCTCTCTCTCTCTCTCTCTCTCTCTCTCTCTCTCTGAGTGTACGCGCGCGTTTCTGCCTTCGCCTCCCTTTGTCTCCCTAACTCTGGCCGTCAGCAGAGCATGGCGACGAACGTGAACCTCTTTCTCTCTCTCTAGCTTCCGTATGCTGCCAACGTCACCCTCTCTCTCTCTCTCTCACACACACACACACACGCATACACTTTCACTTTTCGCTTTCGCCTTTCTCACCCACTTTCACTTTTCGCTTTCGCCTTTCTCACCCACTTTCACTTTTCGCTTTCGCCTTTATGACCCACTTTCACTTTCCCCAACGGCTACTCTGAAATGCGTCGATCCTTGTCGCGGCTGTCGTAAAAAAATAAAAACAATCCGCGTTGTTCTCCACTGTTTACCGAAGCTCATGTGACGGGTGGATGTGTCCCAAGCGCGCGGGGATGTCCTGCGTCCCTCAGAGGGCCTCGTCGCACTACTCGCCATCCGCCAACATTTTGATCGCATGTGGACATCATTTTCTCCAGATGCATTCAAAATCTTGGCGGATGGCGAGTAGTGCAACTAGGGTCCGAGACTTGAGCAGGGGCGAGGTTCCAGGGCGTCGATCTTCATAACCTACGGTCAGGAATGCAGAATTTGGGTACGTGGGATTTGGCCCCCGTTGCATTTGACAAAGCCGTCCGTCCTTGTCCCGGGACATCCACAAAAAAAAAAAAGAAAAAAAAAAAGCCGTCGGTCGATCTGGGGAGAGGGAAGGGGGGTTATCCGTGGGATTTTTACCCACCGAGTGGTTTTGTCTCGATTGGAGTTGAGCTCATGAACGGTGTACTGATAGTTTGATAGTTCCTTATTAAAACAACAACAAAAAAAAAAATTGTTAGATAGATAGATGGGCATACCCTGGAGCCACGTCGGCTGGGTGCCAGGGATGCCGTCTTGCAAGATTCTCTCCTCTTTGTTGTGCAGCATGAGTGTGTACTCACAGTGGGAGTGTTTCGACTCCTCTATAGACGTAATTGCAGTCGGATGCCTAGACGACAAGCCCCAATTTCGGTCCAGATACATCCTGGAAGTCCTAGTGTGCGTATGCCCTGAAGGGACCTGGCAGCGATGCCGCGTCGCACCCAACAAACCTCCCGCCAGGTGCGGGCGCTCCGATACCCAGCTGGCTGATATTTTCATTGGGTAAGGGGGTAAGCAGTAGGCGCCATTGGCGCTATGTTCATCCAAGGAATGCACGAACCTGGACAATATTACCACTAAGGTCATGCCCTCCAAGGATGAACATAGCACAAGTGGGGTCTGTCCCTACGAAAGAATATCGCCTTCTGTCGGAATTGTGGTGTCCTACCATCTAATAGATATAGTGGTATCCTACCATCTATCTGGAGATTGCCGGCCTGCTGGGTCCCCCAGGCCGGCATTGGCAGGACCTTGCCCAATATTGTTGGGTGCTATGCAACAACAATATTGGCTATCAGACACAGCCAATGTAGGCTGAAGGGGGTCAAGAGGGGGGTGCAGCAACTGGCCATAGTGGTCGGCAATAGCACTGCCGGATTCCCCTGATGGCGGCCATGCCTGCCCATTGCCACATCCTCGTGAATGATGAGGGGCTTGTACAGCTTTGCTCTCCCACCACCAATATGGTTGCCATGGGCTATTCCAGAAGAATGGGTCTCTCAACTTCAATTTCCTTTAAAATATATATATTATATATATACAATATATATTATATATATATCGTCAAATAGAATATATATATATATAAAACACTTACAAGGCACAGGGTCGGGAAAAAAAAAAGGGTGGGTTACCAGAGTTGTGGTAGTATCAACATGGTCTTGCAACTCTGGTAACTTACCACAACTTGGGTAACCCTTTGACAGTGAAAAATTTGCAGCCTGCTCACAAGGATGCGGTGGATGGACTTGGAGCCAATCCTGGTGCTAATATGACGAACGACTTTCTGCGCGAAGCGGCTTCGAGGGTTGGGGATTTGTTGGTCGGGTGGAGTGCATGGATATAGGTCGGCTGGGCAAGTTGCATGGATACCCTCGCTTCTTTCTTTTTGGCTTTCGGGTCCGGGGCCGAGAAAGTCCTGCGCAGACGATTGGCTGGCCGCGCCTTAGTGAGCGCAATAAATAACGGTTGCCATAGCTTCTTTCTTGTTCTGCTGTGGGAAATGGGGATTTTGGCGCGATCAGAGTGGGGGAATGTCGATTTTCAAATTTACAACTGATGTCAAGCCCCCACGGGCTCTCGGAATTGTTCTGTCTTTTCGGAATTTCTTTTTGCAAATAGGATTTAGAATAGGAATTTAGGTACTCTTGAAATCTTGTTGCGCCGCGCTTCTTGCTTGCGCACCTCTCACCACAGTGGGGACTGGGCTCTGACTGTATCGCGTCCTTAATCCTGCGTGTAACTGTAATTTTTGGCGGGCTCAACTGTAACTGTACTCCTTCTTGATTCCCTCGTGTTTCCCCGCCTTCTCCCTCTCTGTCATGCATACCTCGTCCGCCATCCTGTGACGAACTACTTTCCAAACCCGTGCTATCTTTCGTACCCCTTCTTTTGCTTGTATCATACCAACCCCAGAAAAACCCCGTTTCGTTTTCTTGTTTTCAGATGCCGCATTTCTTTGTGGCCCTCATCTTTCGAAAGTTTTTTCGACTCCCGGGTTCTGCTTTTTCTTTCTGCAATTCGGGAAATACATAGGAAATTATGTGCGCCTTAGCGAGCGCACTGGGAATCGGGCTCGACAGTTGGGAATTCCGGGATAAGCGAAACATCGACGTGTCCTTCTCGTTTGTGTGAATGTTCTTGGTCGCGTCGGGGAAAACTCTCGGAATTTTGTGCGAATACGAATAGGCGCAGGATTTTCTCTTCCCGCGTCGCTTTTTCGCGCGCGGATATGGTGATTTCAATTTTGAATTAGGATAGAATCTAGCTGTAACTGTTTTGGTGCCTTTTTCTTTCTTTTTGTTGACGGCGCCGCGTATGCAAAGCCTTCTCCTCTTTGTCCCCCGCATCGCTCCCTCCCGCGCTCCCTTCCCCTTCTCCCTCCTCTTTCTCTCTCTCCGTAACTGTTTTCTTTCTCTCTCTCTCTCTCTCTCTCTCTCTCTCTCTCTCTCTCTCTCTCTCTCTCTCTCTCTCTCTCTCTTCCGCCTTGCTTTTTGCGCGCCCATTTCCCTTTCTTGATCATCTGAATCTTGGACCCGTCTTGCGCTACTTCTCGCGCCTTTTCTCTTGCCACCCTCTGAATCTGGCGCACGACGCCCGATCGATCCATCGATAACTCCCGCTCGCCAATCAGGTGCGTGGATCAATAGGACCTTCCTATTGCACGGCGAATCTGATTGGTTGAACCTTGAGTTCGAGGGATCAACATGGCGTTCGTAGAGCACTCTTCTCAAAGTCTTCTCCTCCTGCTTCTCCTCTTMCATAGCTTTCCCGTCGCTTTCTCCCCCTTCTATCTCCCTTGTCGCAACTATAAAACCCGCAAGCGCGTCCGCAAAGCTCTCTTACGTTCTCGACTCTCAAGCCAGCTYCCGGGAAGCAGTGGCTAGGCAGAGTGTTTGGTGCGAGTCGGAAAGTCCTGTCGGGCTGACGATAGGCTGGCCGGTTGCGCGCTGGATCGCCACGACAGACTGTGGGATCTGGGCGAACCGTGTCGAGTCTACGGCAGCGGGGTGACGATCGCAGTGGTGGGAGTCAGCACGCGGCGGCCGGGATCGTCGGTGCGGGTATGAGGATCGATGAGTAGAGTTGAGTGAGTGATTGGCCCGGGGCCATTTTGGAATTAACGGCGAATGCGCCTTTGTTGTTGCGGGTCTTTTTCTCTGACAACACTGAACTTCCTTCTTTTGGGCTGCGTCATCTCCTATCTCGACTCTCCTCCCTCACCTTCCCCTTCTCCTCTATCTTTGAATGATGATGTGTCTCGATGCTTCTCTCCTTCTCTCCCTTTTTCTCTCTTGGATGAGTTGAATCTGTATGCTTCCCTTGCGTGAAAGAACTTCTTCCGGAACTCTTCCATTAGTTTTCTGGGTAATCCTCCTACGCGAGGACCCCGTCTTCTTGTCTTGTGAACGGTGGATGTGTGTGTACTGTGCAAGCGATCCATCTTTTCCTGTGCATGGTTCATTTTTCGCACCTTCCACAGTGGATGTATGTATGGAGATGTGTGATCCCCTTCTTTTTGCGTTGATTAGACGATTATCGTCGGGATTTTGTTCGAGAATGCAAGAGTGTTTAGATCAGTAGATCTGAATGTACTGCGCATGCCATCTGCCTTATGCCGCACGACATCAGCAGCTGAGCTACGGGGCGGCCTCGAGAAACAAGGCGCTTGGGATCAACGACGCGCTGGCTCACCAAACCTGAGTCGCGGATCAGTCCCTTAGTTATATGTATGACCTAGCTGCGGAAGTGTCTTCTTTTCCCTCTCTCTCTCTCGTGTTGAAAGGGATTGATTGTGAGTTGCGCGAGTGTTTTCTTTTCTTAATGACGTCGCCGGATCTTTACAATTGTTTGATATGTGGACTGACCAGTACCCTCCGATCAGGCACCAGCCTCCCGTACCTCCCGTCCCAACACGGCCTTTTCCCTACAACGAGGGAAGTACACGTGTATGCGAGTGGGACGTACGAGAAGCTGTTGCACAAATCGGCGGGCGGTATTACTTCCCTCCGGCAAATCGTTGCTCAGGGTTCGTGGAAGTTGGGTTTGTCATTATCGATACGCACTTCCCACCTTACTCGATATTGTTGCCATTCAACGAGTTGATCGTCATCCCGTGGACGGCAGTAGAACCCCACTGGCCGCGCACTCTATGCAACGAATGTCAGTGTTTTAAGCGCTACGAATCCAGGGGTTTCCACTACCGTGTGCGGAGTGAAGACGAGCATAAAGAAAGAGTCACGCGACTGAGACCATCCACGTCAGACTCGGAACTGACCAGCGAACGACGACGAGATTTGATACGAAAACGAGACACGCGAAGCGTGCCAACGCCTTTCCGTTCTAAACGACGGGCTGTAACCCGGTGGGAAGCCCGACAATACTTTTTGGATTGAATTTGGATTTTTCTCTTTTCTCGTTGTGCCCGCGCGCGCATTCCGCGACGCGCGAAGGCAATTGACTTGCTTCATCGGACCAACACGGGGGATTTCAGTTCCATCTGTGTCCCCACACTCAATTTCCAAAAATCCTTGGCACACCCCATCTTGCTGTTTTTTTGGGCCTCTTTTCCGCACGCCTAACACTCTGAACGAAAGACAGCACAGGGCGTGAGGTTGGTATCGGAGCCGACACGTGTCGGTTCTGATGATAGTAAGTCGAATTGGCGAGAGGTAGGAGAGGCCCTCAACTAGCTCGTCGGGATCGCCCAGTGACTAGGTCTCAATCCGGTGTGGTTGCACTCGCCATGCCGATGGCAGACGGTACTAGGGTGATCGTTAGCATCCCCGCCCCCTTCCCTTTCTTCCCTAACCATACCCATCCCGAGGCTTGGTTGGAAGCTGTTGAAGCTCAAAACTACAGCGCAACCGACCTTCCCCCCGTTCTGACATTGCTACTCTGCAATACGTCGCATGAGTGGTTTAGAAAACATACGTGGGTAAATTGGGATATCTTCAAGCAAGCCTTCTTGGCTCGATTCGATACGGTCAGTGAAGATGCCGCCTGGTACGTACTAAAAAATCGGCCACAAGGACCAGGGGAATTGTTGCCCGATTTCGTCGATCGATTTCAAACCACGTTGGACAAATCCGGGCGAGACGAGAAATCCGCTCGAGATTTGTTCATCGATCACCTACGAAGTCCGACATTGAAAGGAAAACTGCAAAATTCCGCCGAAAACACACCAGTTATCGGCTATCATCACTAAAGCATTGGAACTGGAACTGGCTGATACAAAAAAAATATATCAGCCTGGGAGACGAAGGCATTACAGATATCATAGGGGATGTAACGGCTAAAAGGCGATCATGGTTGCAGGCGGTCGAACGGTTTTATCCCCGCCCCGACCATGACCTTCCCGACGGGATCATTTCCGATATCCCGCCTGCTTCTTCCTCCTCTCCCCCCATGAATCAATCGATCGCGACAGTCAAAAGCGGAATCTCACCCGAACCCCCCTCGCCGGCCATAACCAACTTACATCTTGCCCAGATGATCCATACGACCACTACCAAGCAGTCCGAATGGGTGAGCAACGTGATCCAAATGCAGGCCGCTCATCTTGAACGGATGGAACAGATAATGAGCAGGCTAATTAAGCCTAACCCGGCTCCTGCTCGGCCTGCCCCTGCATCATTTCCACTTTTGCCTGCCCCGCCTGCTCCAGGGTATGTACCTCAGATCCCTCATCTGACTAATCCTGCCGGAAAGATCGAGTGTTTTAACTGCAAACAGCCCGGGCATTTCGCCCGAGACTGTCCACAGCCAAAACGTAATCAACCTCCACCTGCTGCGGCCCCTGTCGCCCTGAATCAAGGACGAGAGGCCGCTCTGATGGATACGGACCAGGGAGGAGAACTCGTGGCATATGCCCCAGAGCAGCCTTCCCCTTTGATGGCAACGGCGTCGACATCGGGAGCTTCTTCCTCTGACGCTGCTGACGTGGTCAATCCCCTCGAGTATCTCCATCTCGCAGGCATGATCGGAGCAATCCGATCGGCCCCGGATGATCTCGAATGGGTCGATCGTGAATCCAATCCTGGTCCGCAGTTTTGGACAGGAGACATTGATGTGTTGAAAACACTCAAGCAACTGGATATTCGTGTTTCGATCCCGGTGGGACATCTGCTCACCATATCTGAAGCAGCGAACGATAAACTTTTACAACATTGTTAGAAAAATCAAAAGCGCTTCACGTATCAGCGCATACAACGGATGTTGAAGAAAAAGGAAGGAAGCGAGGAAGTTGCACAGCCCAAACCCGAAGCCGGCGAACCTGAGGCTGCACGAATAGCAACGATCTCTTTAACAGAAAAATATCACTTCGTACGAGCTCGACCGGTACTATGGAAGAGTGCGGAATAGGATTGCAAAGTTTGGGGCAAGCCGTTTAACGCTCTTATCGACACGGGGTCTTCTGCAGTAGCCATATCACAAGATCATGTCAGAAAGACGGGACGACTCGGGTCCATTCTTCCTCAATCTGGCAAAGACAATTATGTCTCCACCGACGAAGAAGCAATGAATATTGTAGGCATTATTGAGAATGTGGTTGTAAAAGTCGGACGAGTACACGTCCTTGTCAATGCGCTCGTGATAGATGTACGTTCCTATTCTGTGTTGTTCGGACTACCTTGGGCGATGGCGGTGGGCGCACGATTGCATTTCGATTCGAAACAACTAGTGCTTACTCAAACTGGGGGAAAGCCTCAAACTGTTCCTTTGCGAATTTCCACCTGAACGATAAAACGAACCCCTAACTCGGCCCAAATATGGATGATTCGATACATTAACCCCGAGGAGTGTTCTTCCTCAGATATCGATAGTGGAATCAGGGAACAGGAATACGAAGAAGAGATGCCTAGCGAAGATGAATGGAAACACCTGGTTGAACTTTTCGAACACGAAATTCCCGAAGAATTCCAAGTGTGCCCCAACCCTGCTCGAAGCTTCCACGTGGATTTAGGAGACAGCGCGCTTGCGCCTCTGATAACTCAAGTTAGTCCTTCAGTCCTGCTTGGGGAACCCATATTACAAGTATCTGACCTGGCCGATGATTTGGAACCCCCTCGCACCTTGTACGAAGGAGCTCTCTCCTTACGAACGCGTTATCAGCAAACGGAACAATATTTGGATGTTTTTGTTTTCCCGCCCAGATTGTTACTAACAACAGGAGCCACCATCGCTTTGATTAAACAAGAGGCGGAAGCACCGGTAAGTGATGTACCTGATCTGATGCAGGAAATGACGGACCTAACAGGGCTAACTGTGGAACCGACCTCGGTTGGTTTAGAGACTGATGCTGAAACTAAAGAAACGGAGATGATCAGCCCCGCCGAGTCCCAGATGATAGCAACTGTCTTCTCTGTTCGCACCAGTAGTTCCGTTTTCTCTAGTGTCTATGATCGACGGGAACGGCCGGTTGATTGGGTCGATATGCCCCTTAAGATTTTCGGGGAATCAACAATCACCCTATCAAGTCACGTTCCCGCGAAACTTCGGAAGTCGTTAATCTGTGTGTTAAATGATTACGCAGAAGTATCGAGCATATACGATAATGACATCAGCTTAACTAATGTGATCGAGCATGCTATTCTCACGGGAGACCATCCACCCATTAGTTGCGTCCCTTACCGATACTCGCCAACTCAAGGAGCGACCGCTTTTCATCGGATTATAGAATTCGAAGCTAATGGATGGATCGAACCCGCCATAGGTCCCTGGTCTTTTCCCGTAGTAATCGTGCCTAAAAAGGCCGGAGGGATTCGCATTTGCATTGATTATCGAAAGTTGAATGATATCACGATCAAAGATGTCTACCCCCTCCCCCGGATTGATGAGTTGTTGGATGCGATTGGGAGTGTTCGATTTTTCAACAAGTTTGATGTTCGTCATAGGTTCCATCATCTTCTTGTTCGAGAAGAAGATCGTCCGAAAACGACATTTGTGCTTTTCGAAGGTACGTGGCAGTGAATTCGATGTCCAATGGGTATCTGCAACGCCCCCGCGACCTTTCAGCGATCCATGAACATGGCTTTTCAGAATTTTGTGCGGAAGACTCGTTTGGCGCAGAGCATCATCAACTATTGCGTGATCGTCGACATGGATGACATCTTGGTGTACTCGAGTTCCTACGAGGGACACGTGCAACACATCGAATGGGCACTGCACGCGTTACGAGATGCGGGTTCCAAAGTGGCGCTTGAGAAGTGTCAATTTTTCCTCACCACCATTTCCTTCCTGGGGCATGTGGTGACAGACAAGGGACTCCAGTCGGAACCGCAAAAGGTGGCAGCTGTCAGGGATGCGCCGGTGCCTACAACTATCACGCAAGTTCGCGCCTTTCTGGGCCTGGCCTCGTACTACCGAAGATTTATCAAGGGCTTCGTGGCGATTGCGGGACCCCTCACGAATCTGCTACGCAAAGATCAGCCGTTGATCTGGACGCCGGAATGCGATCAAGCATTTTCCAAACTCAAGGCCACTCTCATTTCGGCTCCGGTCCTTATAAGACCGGATCCCGAAAAGTCTTTTGTTCTCATCACTGACTGGCAGCCAGAGGCAATTTCGGCGATCCTTGCCCAGGTGGGACCAAGCGGACTCGAGAGTGTGGTGGAGTATGCGTCCAAATCGGTGTCAGCTTGCAAGCGTAACTACGCCGCTCCAACAAGGGAATGCTACGCGGCTCTATGGGGAATCAGCCACTTTCGCGCTTACCTATACGGGCGAAAATTCACCTTGGTAACCGATCATGAGCCCCTGTTGGCTCTGAAGAAATCGAAGGATTACTTTGGCATGATCGGGCGATGGGCAACGATGCTGCAGAGCATGGACTTTGACATTCGTCATCGGAAGCACGAGAGACACGGGAATGCGGACGGACTGACACGACTGCACCGGCCTGAGAAAGTTCCGAAGAGTGAAGAGGTGATTCCGTGGAACAAACCCGAACAGGAGATCGGACCTCGGTACGACCAAGTGGAGATCTTATCGAAGCAGTAAGTGACACGAGGACTAATTGGTCTGTTCTACCCCCTCTGCAATCCAGTCCCATCCCTTCCTTCTCCGTCATCATAAACTACCCCACTTGCCTCCGCAACCCCTTCATCTCCTACTAATTCTGCCCCTCTCATGTCCTCAGCTTTCTTTGCCACCCTCCCCGATAAATTATGTTATTTTTGCACGTGCATTGTACGGGTCTATGGGGTCGACTGTCATCCTTTTGAAACCGGGTTTGTCGACTGGGTAGAATGTGCCATGTGTGTCAATCGTGCGCACGGGGCCTGCGTTCGATATCGGACGAGTAGCAAGGAATGGAGGTGCCCCCTGTGTAGAACGAACAAACTCCCCACGGAGGTTCGATTCGAGGCCGCCTGTACAGACGACCCTGAATACGACGAAAAATACCGACGAGCGGAGGTTTGGACGGATAAAATTTTATTGGCGAAATTAGCGGGATTATCATTGGGCCACCTCACCAAACACGACAGACGTAGGGCGACCGAGAGATCTCGGGACTATCGATGGGTCAACGGTCATTTGGAAAAGCGCAAAACTGACGGATCAGGTTCGTGGTTGACGGTTCCCCATCCATTCAAGAGATACGATTGGATCCGATCTGCTCACGAAGAACAGGCCGCTCATTTCTCGATACGTGTCACAGAGGCAACTGTAGATCAGAACCGATAGTCCTGGTCCAATATACGAGACGATGTCAAATACATTGTCGCTAACTTTCTGGTCTGTGCCGCTGATCGCGCCCCTATACGGGGACCAAACACGATAGTACCAACGGAAGTAGAGCGTCCTTTCCAGCGAGTCAGTATGGACACGACAAATATCGACGTACCACCTGGCCCAAACCGCTGTGAATATTCTATCCTATTAGTAATAATCGACCATTTTTCCAAGTACATCGAAGTCTATCCCTGTAAGACCCGAAAAGCCGCAGAAATAGCCACGTACATCGAACGGTTCCTCTATACCCATCTAGATACGAAAGAAATTCTAACCGGTAATGGGTCGGAATTCAAAGGTGAGGTAGAAGAACTGCTTGCGCGAAGGGGCGTCCCGCTCCGACATACGGCACCCCACGTGTCCCAGTCGAACGGGTTGGCCGAAAATGCCAACTGTGTGATTAAAACCGCCCTTCGCAGGAACTTAGCGGCACACGACACGCGTCCTTGGCCCGAGATCGTATATCAGATCGTCGGGATCCACCGGGCCACCCCTCACAAGTCCACGGGGTTTACCCCTTTTCAACTTCGAACTAATAGCCTCCCCTGTGTCGACTACCGGGGTAACTCGGAAACTGCCGAAGCAGGGGGTAGAGACACGCGTGCAACTCTCAAGGCCAAGGCCAAAAGGTACACCGAATTAATGGAACGGGCCATCCCGAAGCTACCCCGAAAAAGGCAAAGGATGACCGAACTGGCCCACGGTAGACAGGTCCGTAGCTACGAGACTCGGAATGGAAATGTTGGGCCCCAGCATCAATATAAATTAGGGGACCTAGTGCAGGTACGTAAATGTGCACGCAACTGGAAACTCGCTCCCAATTTTTCTGGTTGTTTTCGCGTTGTCGAGCTCAGACCCAACGGCGCCAACACGGTGCGCATCGCGCCTGAGGCTAGTGCCAGCCATAGCTCTATCCCCATCGTCCAGCATACCTCCTACCTCCGTCTCCTCCCTCCTTCTCATCTTCCTCCCTCTTCTTCCTCCGAAAGCGAGGAGAACGACGACGATCTAACTCTCTCTCCTCTTTCTCCCTCTTGTCCTTCGTCCTCCTCTCCGACCTCGCCATGAGTTTCATCACGGAGCAGGTTCTTGACATACAACTGTTACAGCCACGTGGCCACATCTCAGAGATTCGGCAAGTTTGTCACCCTCGGCTCAATACGGATCTTCGGCGTTTGGTGCAATTTTTCTGCGACGTGGGTATCTGTGCCGCTGCCGCATTTCGAATCGAAGGGAGTCCTCACGCAATAGTATTTGCGGAGGTAATCGCAGTTCATCGGCGAGCGGCTCCCAGAACGAGCTACGTCACCACCGTCGCGGCGTTCAGCGGCGACATCAGCTCGGTCAATCTGCAAAGGCATACCGCGATCTTGACTTCATTGCGCGAGTGGACGGAGCAAGTGTCCAACGTGTGGCAGCACGTTCTCGCCCGACCTGGGCACAATCTCATCCCGACCTTTGCGCCGGATCTCGGCGACATCCGCCGTTCTCCGCGCGAGCGGCCAGTTGTGATTCCCACCCTCGTCCCCTTCCCACATCCCCAATGAACCACGCCAATCCTCTCGCTCCTCTCTCTATCTTTGAGTCTCCCCTCTCTCTTCCCCACCTTCTGGCAATCCGATCTTCATCCTTCTCTTTCCTTCTCATTCGAGCCTCTTTCAGTCCCTCTTATCAATCCTGGGCATTGGCGGCTGTGGCGCGAAACTTTTGAGGAGCTGTCTTTTTGCTTGGCCAGAGTGTAAGTGACGTGGACACAAACCGACGAGCATCCTGCGTGGATCGAAAATCCGGAGCTGCTGATCATCCAAGCTTGGAGGACTAACGTGGAGGGCGATCTTCTTGGCTTTCTCTTTGGATCGGTACGGACGGGGCGCCGCCAGCTGATTGCACAGGAGCTCATCGCGCCGATCGTGCAGTTGGCGGACGATCTCTCGCCTGACATCTATTCACAAAGTGACGACAATCCTGCTCCGCACGTTCTTGAGCGGTCATTAGATCCATATCTTCAGTGGACTGCGTGCTTGGAGGAACCCAGGGATGAAGACACGCTGCCGTCACGCCAGGAGTATCTGAAGCCGTACGATATCATCCCTCACGCCTTCTATCCGAGGGCAGAGGAAGTGGTGATCAACGACGACGACGAAGAGGAGGAAAAAGAAACCGGATGTGGGTGGGAAGCCTTGCCGGAGGAAGCGACGCGCACGGGAATGGAGGCGGAAGATCCGGAGGCAGCGCGAAGGCGCGAAGAAATTTCCACCGGGAAGCGACAACTGGAGTTCGCCAGCGAAGCCAGCCTGCGCATCGGTAACGATCCGACCAGAGATCCGGAGCCGCGAAAGGCCGAAGATGGCGACCCTGCAGCCGCCACCTCAAGTACCGCGCGACGGAGACGGAGCCGATCCCCCTCCTCCTCCAGCCCCACCCGTCCCCCAGTTCGCCCACGTACCGATGCGGGCGATAGGCCTTCATCCTCGGATGCTATCCCGGCGACCCCTTGATTTCCTCACCCTTGAGCAGATCCGCGCCCCAGTCACCTTCCCTCCCCATCCCTTCCTTCCCCATCTCTTCCGCGACTTCTACTCCACCCGCCTACTCGCCACCGTCTACCCTCACGCATCCCTTCAGCCTGTTGCCCCCACGTTCTGCTGGCATATTCTCTTGTTCAGCGCTGCATGGGAGCGATGCAACGTGGTAGAAGTTTACTGCGTCGCCACGGGGACAATCCCCGCCTGCCGCCACTACAAGATCTTTCGAGCGGCGCTTTTCCGCACCCTCTCCTCCTTCTATCGCGACTACCTCGCTTCCCTCCCTCGTAGCGGCGATCACTTCCCCCACTTCCACCGGATCATCCGATATGAGGAGCTTCCGGTGACGATGGAAGGGATGAATCGCTTCCTGCCCCCACTTCCTCCCCATCGAACCCGTGAAATCCCCTCCATGTACCGCCTCTATTGGCCCATTCCAACTAGGAGGTAGATCCCGATCGCATCACTATTCCCCCCCCCCCCCTCTCTCCCTCCCCTCTCTTCATCCAATCAGCAGGGGAAAACGACACGAATCAGTAAGCTTCGCGAAGATCACGCCATCAACACT